GGCCCCCCCGCGGCGGGGCGGGGAAGGAGCGGGGCCGGGTGGGGGGAGGGGGTCTCCGCTGCGTGCGTGCGACGGGCAGGGGTGGGGGCGGCGGGCTCTCAGGGCCCCGCCGCGCGGCGCCGCTCCGCCCCCCGGCCGCCGCCTCGGCCGCCCGACCCTCCGCCGCCGCCGCCGCCACTCACCTCCTCGCGGAGCCCCAGCGCGGAGCGCACAGCGGGCACGCGCACCCGGCCTGCCCTCCCCCCGCCGGCCCCCCCCGCCCCCATGCGGGGCGCGCGCCCGACACCCGCCCGCAGCCAATCGGACCCGGCCCACCAGGCTCCGCGAGAGCCGCCCCCACCCAATCACCGAGCGGGACCCAGCTCGGCCGGCCCATAGGACTCGGCCGCTGCAGAGACTCCCTGACTCAGTCCCGCCCCCTTGACCCCCGCCGCCCAATCACCGCGCGCCTCCGCGCCCAGAGCTAGCGAGACCCCGCGAGATTCCCTCACCTCACACAACCCTCACCTCGGGCGGCCCCGCCTTCTTCACCTTTCCTGCCAATCACGCGGTGCCGCTCCGGCCTGCCGGCCAATCGAGTCTCCCCCCGGGTCGATTCCCGCCCCCGAGACCCGCTTTTTGCCCAATCGCGGCGCCCTATCCGATCCAATTAGCCAATGGGGGAAAACGAAAGCCCGAAAAGGGGTTACTGGGCCAATGGTGCTCGGAGCCCGGGCGGCGGCCTGATTGGCAGCTCTCCTCACGAGTGAGGGGCGGCGGCGGCCGTTTTTCTTCGAATCGCTGCGCGAGGCTCCGCGTGACGGCTGAGGAAGTCTCTGGTGCGCCCGTCCGCGGGTGGGCAGCCGGCCAATGGGAGGCGGGAAGCGGGTGACGAGCGGCGGGAGGTGCCAATGGCGCTGCCGGGGCGGGGTGAGGTGAGGACGCGGAGGTCGCTGCGGCGGGCGGGCGGTCGGTCGGTCGGTGCGCGGCTGGCTGAGGGCGGGGAGCTCTGAGGCGGCGGCGGCCTTCGAGCTGCGCGGGAGCACCGCTGCTCTGAGGTGATTCCCGCCTCGCCCCGCCGCCAAAGGGACTCGCTGAACTCAGCGGGAACGCGGCCGTGCGTTTGGAACGAGGGCCGGCCTCGAGGCGTGCGGGGCGGCGCTGCCTCAGGTGCGGCTGGCTGAGGCGGGCGGGCTCGTGCAGAGCCGAGCTGAGCTGAGCCGCCCCGCCCGCTGAGGTGCGGCGCTGTGGGCGCTGCTCGGGACGCACCGCCTGCCGCTCCTCGCAGCCGTCTGCCCTCAAGCGGTCTGCCGGCGGTTAGGGCGCCCTGTTAACTCTGCTGCGTTTCCCAGGTGCTACTGGGCCGTGTTCTACTCTGGAATTACCGTGTAGCTTTGCTGTCACGTTTGTTTTTAAAGCACTTCGGTTATAAATTTATTTGGGAAAAAACCACGGAAGGGCTCGTTTACGGCTGGTTTATGGTCGCAGGGTGCGGGCGGAGGAAATGCCGGGTGAAGCTCGTGCTCTCGTGCTGTGTCTTTGTTCAAATTACTTTGAAAGGCTCCTTTAAAAAGCGACACACGGGATATTAAAAAGTAATGGCACGGGAAGACTCCTGAGAATCGTGTGGTTCGTCTACGGCTCATTCGACGAACTGCGGTTTTTGCGTGGCTGGTAGCTCTCAGATGGGGGAGCAGCACCCAGCCGTGCCAGCAGGCAGCCTGCAGTGCCAGCGGGCGGAGCGAGATTGCTGTCCCGCATAGAGACCTTCCTCTACGCCTCGAGCTCCTTAGCGAGCCGAAGCTGTGCTGAGTTTTCAGGTGGATGTCAGCAAATGGTTGTCTTGCCCATGGAATACTTAAAAACTGGTGTTGGGCACTGTTTTGTAGACAAATTTTTATCAGAGCAGAAGTGAGCTGGGTTGCAGTCCTGGCATTGTTAGTGGTTCTTCCGGCAGCTTTGCTGGGTTACTACAAGCCATCTTTTCTGTTTTCCATGTGCCCAATGAAGTGTAACTAAAATGTGGGATGTCCTTTCTTTTTTGTTCAATTATTTGCCACAACTACGTTGTCCTTTTTGTTTGCCCTTTGAATTGAACCAGCTCTTCTCAATGAGGTAGAAGACTGGTGAGATAGCAGCTGAAGGGATGCACTTATCTTGCATGTCCATATGGAGTCAAGTCAGATGCCAGTGTTGAAGTACCCACCCTAATGGTATATCATCCTTCTGTGCTGAGCTTATAAACCCTTTTATTGGTATTCTTGGCCTCTGCCTTACTGTACAAAGCAAGGGGGAACAAGATTGAAGCTGGCTTAGGCTGAAATATATTTAAGGAAGCATGGAATTTGCAGGTATACTAAATGCTCGATTTCTAATAGATCTCTTGTTTCCTCAGTGCAGTCCTGAGATAGAAACCTGTTGCCTGAAATAGTGTTGCATGTTAGCTGTATAAATCACACCTCCTTCGAACAGAGCTGCAGAAGGAACACGTGGTGCACTGCTATGAGTTGGTGCTTCCTTGTTCCTGCATGCCTATGGACAAGAAGTGTTAAGTCTACCGAGAGGAGCTTGCTAGAGCTGGCACACAGCTTTGAGCAAGAGTGCTTTGCAGGTAGACTAGTGAGTGTGAGCTGGTGAAATCTAATAGCAGGTACTTGAACTGGGCAGGTAGAAACACTGTTCTTGATCCTGCCAGAACCCAGTTTGATGGCAACTAATTTGTCATCCCCAGTGATGCATGGAGATATGCGTTTGGTGACTGCTGCTGATGAAACATGACAGATCAGTTCTAATTTTTTACTGGTGAAGACAGTTATTCATGGGGACATGCATCTGTCTCTTGCTATTTTCTTCACAGTAAGAGGACTGTAAAGCAGATACAAATCTGCATTTTGAGTATCAAATACCAAACGGTAGTGTATCTGAATTTGTCAGACATCTAGCTAAGCCTGTTTAAACAGCATGTAAAAGTAAATACTGTCGTCTAGGAGCACAGAGGACAGTCTTGTCTCTTCCTGAAAACCTATTGTATCAAGTTCAGTATTTCCTTCTGACTCTTGGGAGATTTACTCTCCCCTCGAATTTGCCACTTGCCTTGCAGAGGTATAATCTTTTTGACAGCACTCTGCATAAGGCTAAGTGGTGGAAGGCAATGTGTAATCATCCCTGTTCTATTTCTTTGATGTTCCTCAACAGTGTGTTAACCTTAAAATTCTCCATGAGCGATGGTATTGCTTTGTATAAAATGCTATAATCCAGCTTCAGACGTAGGCTTTGGTGGTTTTTTGTGTCATGGGAACTAGCTATGAAAATAGGCCTTTAAATGTTAGAAAAGTTCTTTTTGATTTCGTGGCTCAGTATTGTACATAAATGTCCTTTAGCATGTGTGTGCAGGTTTTGTTTTTTTTTTTGTGACAATTTAATGCAGGAGAAGTAATATTAAAGAGAACAAAGCATAATTAAATGTTTGCATAGATTTCTGTGATGCACGAAAGGGCTGCACTATTGATAATTTGTTGTGTGGGTGTTTGACAAGCCCACATGTACCTCAGTATACAACTCTGCAGATGCGTTCCTCAGCATTCTGCAGCACTGCTAATATTTTATTCATAAATCTTACTACTGAAACCATAAAGTGTCATAAACAGTGTTAGTGCTCGGGAATTTGATGGGTTTTGGCTAGTTATATTTTGCTGTAAATTAATTATGGTTCTAACATATAAAGGGATAATTAATATGTGCGAGTCATCTATAGCTTTAAAATTTGTTGTCTATTACTCTTTTCCTTTGAAAAATAATTTTCCAAAATTTTCATCTTTAAAACCTTTTATATCTTTATAAAACAGAAAACAAAACTTGCCTATTAATAAGGCACTATGGGGAAAAGAATATTTTGTTGTGACTTTGGCTAGGTTTGCCTTACTTTATGAAATCATTACCTTTATCTAGAAGGTAACAAAGTTCTGCTTGTGTTGTCAAATGGGGAGCGAATTCTTGGTCTGTTCTAGGTACCACATAATAATGAAGAGTCTGGGGGGAAAAAAAATCAATCAAAACAAGTGGATGTCCTAGCATAGGTTAGTCAGTCAGAAAGGCACATGGATCCAAATGAGCATCACCTTCATCCTGAAAGCAGCAATGGCCCATCAGCCCCACTCCTGGCTCTTGCAGCTTAGTTCTTGCAGTGGTCGTATTTTGTTCCTTTTGTTCCAGGTTTGTACAGTATGCAGTATATGCAAGTATGATAGTCACCATTTGGTGCTGGGGTTTGTATTCCTCCCAAAGACTGTCAGATCCAAAGCACTGAACTCCATACCATCCAGAAAACTATTTTTGTTTCACTTTTCTGGAGGAGTAACTGAATCCTCTGCTAAGCCACAGAGCTTAAGCATGATCTTGGCTTTAACTGGAAGTGCTCAGGTGCTTAAAGTCAGTATATAATAATTTGCTATTTAACGATACAGGTCTGATTGTTTATTGTTCTGTCTCATTTCCCTTCTTGCTGCTGAATACCAGTTGTTGGTGGAAGAGGGGAGATCTTTAATCCTCAGTAGATTTTTTGAGAAATTGACAGTTCTACAGTTCTGTTCTCTATTTCTTTGCACCAGAAATGACCCTGCTGCTCTTTGTCACCAGTGTTTCCTTTTATCACTCTCCTGGCAGCTGCTCTTGCTCCATTTTGATGTCGGAACAACAAATGAACTCCCTCTGAAGCTAATGTCATGCCAGCAGATTTTGAAGCAGCAAGAAAATCATCTCTGTCTCTGAAGACAGAATTGGAGACCTTTGTGAATGAGCTGTGTTCTTAAAATAACTCCGCAGCATGTTATCCCCAGAAGGTGGAGAAGTTAAAACATCGTGACATACCACTTGTATTTGTGTGAGCAGGATCCCTAAATAGTGAAGTGAGGAGAGAAGCAGGTTTCTTCCTTCTCCAAATTGAGTATAGTATCTAAGCTCTTTGTTTCTGCAATCTCTTTTCCGGAGGGAGAGTAGAGGAAGAAGAGGCTAAGACTCCAGTAATTAAAAGAAATTGAATTATTTAGGTTGTAGGTTTAATCAGTGGAGAGAATAACACTGCTCTGGTGGTGTTTTTAGGAATACCATCTTTCAGAGACCCAGCTAGCTTTTGTTCTGTCACTGATTCCAGTGACAACGAATTGAATGAACCAGTTGAATTGTTCCATATTGAAGACATGCCTCTTGTTAAGCATTTTGTTCACAGCATCATGGCTAACAGGTATGATTGTTTCTCATCCTTCATTCAATCGCACTGAAGCAAAGCATGTGCTAAAACTTGCTTTGTCAGAATTACTGTGTTTTGACCCAATACTCTGCAGACCAGATTCAGTGAAGTTGTGGGTAGGAGATAAAAACCTTTAGGCTGTTAAGTTCTTGCAGGTGATACATCAGTTAGTTTTATTTCCTTAGCTTTGTAATGATAACACAAAGTCCAGCCTGTTCTGTTTCTTTATTTTTTTTCCTCATTTCAAGTCTGGCTAGCTTCTTAGAACTTGTTCGTATAATGACTAATCTTTTCTAGCGCAATAGCTCATAAATCAATCCTTCACCATGTCAGGGTGCCTTGAGTGTTGTAATAGACCACGTTCATTCAGTATCAGGAAGGAACAATGCATTATGGAAACACTCATAAACAGTAATTTTTAAATTGAGGTCTTTGCAGCAGGCACACCTATCCATTACAGCAGGGCAGTTTTGAGAATGCATCTTAAACACTGTTTTTCACTAAGGTATGGAGAAGTGGTTATTCCCTGTGGTCTTGCCAGTTTTACTGTATTTCTCTGTCATATGCAGTCAAGATGGGAATACATAAAAAGCCAAAACATCTGGAAACTAATAGGAAACAAACTTGCAGTCTTGTTCATGACAGCATCTCACTTCAGCATTGTCTTCAGAGTTTGACTCCTGTAAACTG